CCCAAGGGTTTAGTGTCCTAATTAGTAATGTGCAGTATTGGGCATTTGAGGTTCAGAAGCTACTGTACAATCTAGACCAAGATTTTGTTTCAACCAACTAGTTGACTGTTGTGTGATTGTGATTCCTTATGCTCAACTGGTTGTTATAAACAAAATCTTGATCTGGATTTGTAGCTTCTGGACCTGAAATGCCCAACAGTGGTAATGTGGCTCAGGTGCACGATGTCAGGAACCAGCAGAATTCGTTTAGTGTTCAGCACCAGTGTTGAGTCCATATTGGTGAAACTGAGGTCCGTGTGGGCATGACATTAACTGTGTCTTTAAATATTGTTTTTAATATGAAGGTTCCGGGGTGAGGTTCTCAGAGGGGAGCTGCTGTGGCTTAAGCAAGAAATACAATCCAAACGTCACTTTGTATAAAAACAATGCATGATAACGGCAATAACTTATAGACCTGGAGTACAATACATCCAGGCCATAGGTCTTAAACTGACTCTGTATTTGACTAAAATTAAAATCCAATTTTTATATAGATCCCATTTTATTCATCTGGAAATAAGTAAAGGCTACAAAAATACCATGCAGCTAATACTCATCTCATGACATATTTACTTTCCGAAGAACAAACATATAGACATTGAAACCTTTTGTGTGTGGAGCAAACTGGAATTTCTAGTCTTTGAAGACTTGGTTGAATTACAGACTAATAAGCTACCTGGTCTAATTTCCTCCTCTGATGGCTCATTCAGTGTAATGAAGAACATCGCTTTTTCTGCTGATGTTCAGGGGCCTCGGCAACGAAGCCTTTCCCATATGGTCAGTCCTATTAGGGAAGGGCTTCAAGTGTCCCACGTTGACAGGCAATTTAATTCAGCGCTAATGGGAATGCCTGAATGCCTATTATCGCACTTGAAGAGATCACACTATACAAATCGAAAGCACTGGCGCCTTTGATACTGTTAGCCAATGGGAGGTTTAGGATTTGAATCAATCAATTAATCAATAAATCAATCAATCACTCAGCTAAGAAAAAGAAGGAAATGTATAAAAGTATAAAATAATCATATGAACTCTGAATTCAGAACCTCTTATTTTTTCCAAACTCAACTTGGTCAAAGTCTTGGTGATGTTTTTGATATGTTTTTAGTGTTTTATAAATAGTGTTTAATTTAGTATGATTGTTTAACATGCAGTGAAATATTTTATGAGTGTTTCTCAATAGGTATGTTGTTTTGTTGTATATATTGAAACGTGGGTAGATTTTATATGCAGCTTGCTTATATTTTTCTTTTCCATTTCTTGTGCGCCTTTGTATTTGTACCCTTGCACATTTTATCTTGTGTCTTACAAACCAGGAATCCGAGTTTCAGAAAGATACTGTTTGCTGTTGCCGACAATCTGAATTGCTTGATTAGTCTAATTTTAAACATTCACCTATTGAGGCCGTGAACCCTGAGCTTTGATTTCACAGCCAGCAGAGCTCTTCTGAATAGTAAAATGGATACGCGGTCAATGCCAAATGAAGACTGTGAGAGAAACCGACATATTCCCAAATAGCCGCTCACTTCCTGGAAGTGACAGGCAGTAATATGGAGTGAAGTCTTCCATTCTCATGCCTTGTGCCATGCCTACGGGGCTTGGCGGGATGAGTTAAGATGGGACTGGGGAGAGACGAAGGCCTCTAGAGCCTGTTGTGGATGACTGAAGCCCTTGCAGTCAGATTGTCTGCCCCACAGTGTTTGGAACAGGAAGAATGTGGCTGGTAAATCACAATGTGCTAGTTTATAGAACATTGTAACCTTATATTAAAGGCTTAATTAGGCCTGTGTGCATCTTAGGAAATGCAACATGAAATGATGACATGTTTTATCTGTCATTTGTGCATGTATGAGTGCAGGTGCCGGCGATGGGTTGGCGCCCCATCCTGGGTTGTTCCCTACCTTGTGCCCGTAGCCTCTGTGATAGGCTCTGGATCCCCAGCGACCCAAAATAGGACACGTGGCTACAGAAAATGGATGGATGGATGGATCTAGTGCAGATACATTGGAATGCTTCTTTTTGTATATCCGTTCTTGCTCTCCATTGAGACACACACAAGCTTGAGGCCTGAACACAGGGTTAGGCCATTAATCAGGAGCATATGCTGCTTATAGTAATCCATGGATGCCTGCTGTTTAATGTCACGTTACTTAGCATTTAGTTAGTGTGTATCTCCCTTCGATACCCAGAATGTCAGTAGAGAGCGGTTAAAGGATATATTCCTCCATGATTTGCTTTGGTATTTTTAATTATTTTTATCAGCTGTAAACATGTTCTGAACCAAAGGAACATTGTGCACACCAAGCCGATGACTCAACGACCCAGGTGTTATGCACCAAAATTAATCATTATTAAATGGAAATGGACCTTGGTAAATGGGAGAAATCCATCTCACAGTCTGACAGGATCCAAAGTGCAACTGCAACCTTTAAAAATAAATTGATTTCTTTCAAGGCATCACTAGACCCTTCGGCTCTGAAAATGCACTGCTGTCCTCGCTCACCTGTGACTCCGTCAGCCTGTGATCCTGGGGAAACAGGAAATACACCAACCTGCCTATAACTCACAGAAATAATTCATCTTATGAAGGCACAATGCAGAGAGTTCCTCTTTATCTGCTTATAGGGCTTTGACAGATAGTATTGGGATGGCCGGTGGTTGATATGTCTCTGCAGAATTGTTTTGTGCCACGGTTTGAGATTGATTTGTTTTGGTCGATTTTGTTTATCTCGACAGACAGCCCCTCACTTACAACTGGGTGCCGTTCTGAAAGAAACACTGAAATAGACATGTGTTGGAATAATCGCAGGATAATCGCACTTACTTTTCAGTGGGAGAATGAGACTCGGAGAGGTGCGTGAGGCTGCCACGGTCATGCTAAGTACAGTAATTTCGCACAGTAACTCTTATATTGCAGTGCCGGGCATATGACAGCCCGAAATTAATTTTTACATTTGCCATATGTGTAAGTCCTGGTAAGTTGCATAGGCTGTAAGTTGAGGACAGTCTGCAGCACATTTCTCAAAACCTCCGTTGGCAACTTACATAGTTGGAGCCACCCAGTTGTGTAGTTGGCAGCTATGCTTTTTTGCCATGTACTGTAGTACAACCCAGTTCTGTTGTAGCTACAGCTCAGATGGCTGCTGTTTAGTGTGAACTTACATTGGCAGCATCAGGTTCATGGTATAAACAGGAAAAGAAACTACTACATGATTTCTATACGAAAAAAAAGCCCTTTGATTCTTTTGTTCCTTTTGTACTAGCAAGTCAGGATGTTCCGCCCAAATCTAAATGTTGCACACAGTCCCAAAAGACATGTTATTGCTTGATGTTAATAATACAAAAACTACTGATATTGTATAGAAGAATCTCGATTCCAAAAAAGTTTTTTTAAACCCACCTGCAAGACACAGCTGACTAAAATAAACACTCATTCAAGCAATTTTTCTTTTGGAAATTCATAACATCAGCACTTCTAGTTGATATGATTTACCTTAAGTGTCACTGATGTCAGCCATGGGAAGCACCCGCCGGACACTACAGGTCATCCGAACGATGTGCAGCCTGACTTTCGGAAGGATATCCCAGTACCGTATTACTACTAATACAAGCACCTAAAGGGAAGGCCAGGAAAACCCCACCAAGGTTAGGGGGGGTTATGCTGTGATTTGTGTGAGAAAGGGGAAGAGTGTCAGTGCAGAACTTGAGCTTCACCTTAAAGGAATTACGGTGCAAGACCAGAGAATGCAGATATGACCATGAGGAGGAGATGAAGTTCAGACCATTCTGTGTGGGGGGGTGCATAATGTACAGTAAACACATCCACACACTTTTAAAATAAAATAGGTAGTTGATTATTGTGCCTTTTATTATAATTACTGCACACAACCATTAAAAGTGAATGGAATGAAGGCAAAATGCTTGAACTGAAGCCTTGGTACCCACTCATAACAATTACCAGCAGGGAAGTTTGCTATTCTCTACAATTCCTGTGCCACTTTTGGTAATATCATAGTGAGCCCATTTCCTTTAATTCTTTGCAGCTCTGGGAAAAAAATCGTATATCCTTCCTGGTGTTCAGCGCTCAACATCAGCGACTCCAAGAAGTCATTTTTTAGCGGCATAAAGTAAACTGTTAAAATTGTACCATTGTCCCCCTTTTTTTTGTTCTTGAGGCCATTTAGAAAATGGGGCTTTCTGTTCCTATATAAATGCATCAGCTGTATAGTGTTTCCATATAACAGCAATGTGTGTGGGTATATCCTCATCGCCCAGCCAGGCCGTTTTGCAGCTCCTGTACATTAGTTCATTTCCTAATTGTGCCAACAGATGGAAATGCATAATTCTTGATGTGATATGAGGCAGGAGCCCAACATATATTAGTGGAATTGCTTATCTGTCTGACAAAAAGCAAAATTTTTTAGTCGTCTCACTAGCATGGTTAAATAAATATTTCCTTTGCACCTGCATGCCGAAAATCACTCACATCTTTCTCTGATAATGATGTTTAGCTTTATTTTTTGTAGAAGAATGTGATTTCAAAACACCATATTAAATGAATCTATTGATTCTTGCATAGCCAGTTATATGACGTACTGTATATTAAAATCTGATTTATTGAGAAATAAAAAAAAAATCTTTCAAACTGTATGTTTGAATGACGCCCAGTGCATTTACTTGGTCATTTTTTATAATGTCAATGGTTTAATTAACTTGAATGTTACTAGGATAGCCCTATGAATTTCAAAACTCATTCTTGCATTATGATTTTGCCAGATGACCACTAATGTGCTGTCAAGTTTCAAATGAGTGTAGGTCTATTAATGAGTGTAGGTCTGGTTCAGACACATCTGTTAAACACTCTGTTACGTTCAACAGCTTAAAATTTTTAAATGGTGCAAGGAATTATCACAAGTTACCACTGCATGTTTGCAGTTTCGAATAAAGAACAACCACTGTAGTTTCACAAAGAAAAAAGGAATGTTACACGGGTGATTTTAATATACACTGTACAGGAAAAAATGCTTACACCTCAATTTTTAAAAACAAAACCTGACAAAACGAAGCAGTGTTACCTTCTAACAATATCTGATGCAAGGACTATGTTGAAGTTTAATTATACCATTAAACAGAACACTACACAACTCTGAAATTATTTAGTAATGAATTAAGGATCCTTGCACACCAGTTTTGCAGTATTTTCATATTGATCACTTTGTGGTTGTATATTTACTTATCTTACATCTTCCTTATGCTGACTCTGTGCATTGGCATAGAAATCCCATACTGTTGAAAGATCACGTCCTCCTGTTGCAGGATTATCATGTGATTTAAACTGCCACAGACAGAAAAGCATGACGGAGCTACTTTAAGGGCTGATCAGGCTTGTGAAAATGATGTCCATCGAGCAGATGGTCCAGACCACGGCACCTCATGCATAGTCTCTCGGTCTTTTCAATTGTTCTTTTTTTGCTTCCTGGAAGGCCCCTCAAATTCATTTCATTTGATAGTGCAGAAGGGCCCGTCACATGTTCATCAATACATTCCATTTTTGGATGGGTCCTTTTGAGTTGACGTCTTTCCCTGCAAGGCCTTGGGAAAGCAAATTTGTTTCCATGCGTCGATCTTTATTATTTGAAAGCAATGGTTGTTAATGAAGGAACAAACAGTTCAGTTTTATGGGGTCGTTAGACATTTCGGTGCTTGCACCATGATGTACCTCCTGGAGGTTGGCCCAAGGCTGGTTGTCTTTACACCAAAAATGGTTAAAAATAAAAATAAAAATTAGGCGAGAGTGTCACTCCGGCGGCTGCACCACACCACCAGTGCGATCATAGACAGAGTGAGGAAGACCGGGACAAATATGAGGATGATAAGCAAGTTGTCTGGTGGATCGACCCAGATGATGTGGTCAAGGGTGCAGTTTGAGAAGAACAGCTTGTGGATGTGGATGATGTAGCTCTCCACTAGAGGGTTGGGCCAGTAGCAGCCCATGCTTTCAGAGCTCTGCTCCGTGCAGTACGAGAAGATGTTGTAATCTCTGCAGGGGGGGGGGGGACAAAAGAGCATTGTCCCATATCAGCACTGGCAAAAGAGAAACACAATTCTCCCTCAGGGGAAGACATTTCAGGGGTGTAAATTCACATAATAAGGACACGGATTTTATTGCAAGAATTAGATATCTATCCCAAGACTGGTAAAAATTGCTAAAATTTGAAACAAGGAATGATCTCTTCCTATGTCAAGCCTTATGTGCCAGGGCAGATGTGTTCAAATATGACTGGGAGAGTGGCATGTACATGTGGCTCGTGGGAATTTTACTTACACTACAGGAGGCGGGACCAACCAATCAGATGTCTTGGACCCACCTCCTCTATATCTGATTGGCTATCTCTCTGAAACAATTGTTTTTTTCATTCTGCCCTCAGAACAATTTTGAATAAATAAAACTCCCACGAGTGTACTGTACGTGTGTGACATGTTCTCCCCTTGTTTTTGGGCATTCCCTCTCAAATACAGGTCACATCAGCATCACTCAATCGTCCTTGCTTCTCTGGAAAGCATCACCAATTCACAGTATAAAGATGCCTTCCACATGTAGAACACTTTCTGAAGCTTACACTTATTAAGCAGTGATAGAAAAATGATATCCCCTGCAAGAGTGAAACTGTATATCAGATAAATCTCTTTAGCGTCAGCAGATGAAATTTGAGGTTTAAATCCTGTTAATATATTCTCAAAGGCACAAAATCAAGCTTGTTCTATGATGAAATTTGCTTCATGCTAGGAAATTGAAGAATTTCCCAGTGTTGCTGTCAAAGCCAGAAATAACTGGAAATAAGTTATCCACAATATGTATTATACACATTGCAAAAAAAGGGTAAAAATGTGTGTCTTCGCTTGTCACTGGGGCTGTACCCGCAGGGGTCTGTACCCTTAATTGTACCCTTAGCTGTAGGTACAAAAATGGACTCTGAAGAACATTTCTGTACCATTAATGGTACATTAATGCTGTTGGTACCTTTAGGATATTCCTCAGAGTCCATTTCTGTATCTTAAAAGGTATAATTACAAGAGTACAGCCCCAGTGACAAGCAAAGGTACAATTTTTTACCCTTTTGTATGTGAGTGTATTGTTTCATTGATCAGCCTTTTCTGTTTAGAACACCTCATACAAAGTGACAATAATGCCAAAAAAAATATGCCCCAAAAAAAATTGTTGTTATGGAAAAAGAACTTTCCGGAGTGGATAAATGCCACTTTGTCCAGTCTTTTCTCCTAATTGCTGATAGATACCATTTTAAAAAATGAATGATATAACAAATGAATTATTACTACATTTCACTGTTTGTTTTAATATTATATGGAGCCCCTCAGAGGAACACTGTTCATTATTCATAAACGTCCATTAGCTGCATGGTATGTGGCCTCAACCCCTTCTGCTTTCCCCTAAAACTGAAGTATATTAAAAGTATACCCAAAAATACACTTAGTTTTATGAATTTAAAGAGGTATTTCTGTAGGATGCCTGTTGTCCATCCGTCAATCTTTGAAACTCTTAATTCCAAAAAATTATTCATCTTTTGCTAAGTTTTGGGAGACCTTTTGAGATGTATAAAGGCAGACCAGGAAAAAAAAACACAGTGGACCCTCGTTAGGTAAAATTTGTTTTAGATGTTCAATGGGCCAGTTGAGTGGATGGGGGGGAGGGTTTTAGAAATAATGGGAGGAAGCCCCCCCCACCCCAATAACATCTGGAAAAAAACATACAGATTTATGTATCTTATTCACCCTTTCAAAAAAGGCCTAGTCTTTATCCTGCTTCTTGACAGATCTCCACTATAGTATCAGTATAGTCATAGTATATACTATATAGTATAGTCATAGTATCAGTACTACATCTGTTGGAGGGGGTGTAGAAAGGTGGACGTGATACTAAATATCATTTTAAATTTGCCGGCTTTGGCTTAAATTTCTATTAAAATATATACTATAATGTAAATATATATGCCTGTAGACATCAGTGTACATTATCTCAGTCACAGGGGGTCCATATCTGTGGTTGGACTCTCCACTTATCAGCCCTGAAGACACAGTTATAAGATCTGATCCCTTCACAGCAACACTCAACAGCATTAAATTACGAGAGGAGTGAGCAGATTACCAGCACTGTAGGAGTGATTTATGGTTATGCTGGACTACACTGACAGATTAATGCCTTCATTGTATAACTTCATTTTGCTTAAAGCTAATAAATTCTAATGATATATTTTTCTATTATTTTGAAAGTACACATCATATGAAATAAACAGTACGAACTATGCATTACAGTTGTTTAAGTATAAAATTATCTGCGGAAATCACTGCGACTTTCACATGTTTGTTTAGGACTAAATGAGTCGTGTCTCAAACACGTGCTACTGTTGAGACAAACTCAGTGAAACCCCTGAACTCAACAGGAAAGACAATTCTACCGTCTGATCCTCCCATAAATATCTAAAGCTTTGATATGCCATGTTTGGGTCTTAGATTGGACTTTCCAGAAGGAAAAAAGAATTATATAAAACATATGTGTAATAAAAGGAACATAGACATAAAAAATACCATCTTGAAATGAAGAAATTTCCACCGATACACAAAAATATTTGATCAATACTTGAATTAAATGAGCTATTTGTATTGTCTTAAACTGTGCGGCAAGCACGTGCTGCTACTTTTCTGGTAAACTTATTGAAAATATACCAAGGATAATGGAGACATTCAAAGTAGAGCATTATACTAAATAACATTGTTGCTGCAGTTTTATATTGTTGATATTTGAGTATGTCTTTATGTATTGGTTCCTTGCTTTTTTCCCTGTTATCTTAAGATGCCCTTAAAATATTTCCCCTGTCATTCCACGTTCACAGCTGGAATTTGTAAATGTGTCTCAGGACAATGCAACATATTTAGAAAATGTGCTGGCTGGAACTGAATCGAAGCAAGGGAGATATCAAACGTCTTTCCTAGTGATCATGTAGGTGCCACCAGGCTTTCTCCTGTAATGTCTCAGCGTGCTTTGGTCCCTTGTACTACTCATGAAATCTAATCACAATTCTATCACGTCGGCTTCTTATCTACTCATCTGATTTCTTCTTTGTGATCTCCTGCCTGACACCGATAGATTTTGCCAGCCCTGATGGGTGGGGAGTATGTCTATACCACATTCCTATGCGCTTTGGTTGCTCATCTTTCACAGGATTAGCCTATATCATATGCGCTTAAGTTAATATTGAAGGCTATTTGTACAGTGGTTTTGATATGGTCGCAAGCTGCCTTTGGAAGAAGTATGATAGATGTTTGTAATGTGCTATTTGCCTCACTTGTGTGTCGCTTTGGACCAAAGCATCAACTAAATAAATGTCAATTTAAATATAAACTTATGCAATGAATTATTTTGTTTTCCTGATGTAGCCACAGGCTGCTGTGAGGATAGCAGTCCTGCATCTACCCTCTCCGGCTGACCTTCAATGACATCACCGCAGCCCTGACCTTTACAGTGCTGGCTTCATGATATTACAATACTGAGCAGTGGTACTGTGCGAGTGACCCGCTCTGCATCCAAATTGATTAACCTGTGCATATTAGAACCTCAGATCAAACATCTTGTACTTAAGGAATAGCAAATATGTACTTAAGGAATAGCAAATATGTAATGTAATTTATAACAACGTAAAAAAAAATTTAGGATGCACAAACTACACAATAATTTATTAAAATTTGAATGAAATATAATTGTAAAGTACAGTAAATAGTACATTTTTATTAATTAAAATATCATTGTACATATTATTTACGAAAGTCAAAAAACAGAAAAAATTCAGCTTGATGCAACATTCTTGCACAAAAAAATTGCTCACAGATTTCTGTGTTTTCTAAAGGCAACCCTCCAACCAGACCACGTTTCTCTATTTACTTTCACTCCCAGTTGCACTCGAGTACAGACAGTCAGACAATTCCCTCTGTTACCTGAAATGAGGCTTGTTTATTTATCCACATACGGTACGTTATTTTTAAGAAGCGAACAAAACCCTAAACGTTTCCCACGCTTGACGAGTCCTAAGCCGACCAATCCCCAGGGAGCGACATGCCTGCTTCTGCATAGCAACCGTGATGTTGATTCCGCTACAAAGTAAATTTCCTTCGGTGTTTCCAGTCAACACACTGTATTTAGGCCTCAGCAGTATTATTGTTTGAGTTATGATTTTTTCCCCTGGTAGCGATTTTTGAATATCGCAAAACACCATCAGTCTAATTACGCGTATCGCAATGTAGCACTGTTGAATGAAGCCTGTTAGGCCAGGGGCTCAGACAGAGCATAGGCTTTATTAACTCCATTAACTGCAGTTTCCACCCACAATGCAGACACATGCAGCTGACTGCAACGTATATGTTCACCCAACTGTGCCCTTATATACCCAGAATTGACTCTACATCGCTGCAACCCTAAACACTAAGGGGATGGATTTTTAGCTAACTTCATGCCAGGTGTTTACTCAACAAGTTTTGCTTAGTACTTTGAGTATAAGCAGTTCACAGGTTACAAAAAAGATCTGTACCCTAAGTCTGTCTTTAAGTAGAATCTGTAGGTAAGTTGGAAACATAATAATACAGTAAATAATAATATTTATAATATATAATAATAATAAAAGTAACCTTAAGCCAAAGCCGTGCAGTGTTTTCATGAATGTCACCAAGTAGTGTATGCATTCGGTATTACACCCTATCGTACTATTATCATATTTAACTCAAATTTGTTATCTAATAGGCTAATAGGCAGTAAGTTTGTAAGTACGAATTGTCCGTATGTCCAGCGTTCTTATCTAGTGGGCTGCCTGTATATGTGTTGATTAGGTTAAAATTGATAAGGAGGTAACTTTTGGGGTTGTTTTCCAGGACTGAGTGCGAAGCACGAATAAGAGTTTATGACATAAACACACACAGCTGTGTCCCTGGTATTTCCTGGGTCACATGGTCATTCTTCAGACGGGTGGTCTAATTGATTTATATCAGTAAGGGCTGCGCTATCAAGAGTCATCAGCAACCATTTTTATATCTGTTTAGTAGTCTGACAGTATTATTTTTAGTAACTTGCACTGTTTCCATTTGTATCAAAATTACTGCATGATTACATCAACTGTGCAGCTTTTAGCATGTCGCTGATGGATGAAATTTTGATGCATATCATGTATGTGGATCTGTATATTGACATGGGGCTTCAATCAGCATGAAAATGAAAGAAGTGAAAGAAACTATATATAAACAAAGGTCTTCCTAACCCTCAAGCATTTGATAACTGATTCAGAGTCATATGAAAATATGGTAACACATTTTCAAAACATCTAGGATTTGCTATAACATGCATCTCCAGAATCATTTAACCTTTTGTCTGAATACATGGCCTTAGTAATTTTTTCCTCCTGCGTCAAGGGTACTATTTTAATAAAGCACAAACAAACAATTTAGGATCTTTTAAAATGTTTTCATTTTTGCATAGTTTGTAGTTCTTATCAAGAAGGAAAGGCTTACCCAAAAGAAAAGTGCTACACAAGTTTCCACCAGTGAATCTGCTGTTACATTTCATCAATTTAGGCCAATTTGGCTTAAAAACTTTAGCTGTGTGTGTAATTTTTGCCGTAATTTTAACACATTTATAAAAGCCTGTGCACTAATGTGCTGCTGCCTCTGGAGGTGTGATGATTCACGGAGAGTGGGATTTTTAGGTCATTTTTTTCTTAGTCAGTGAAAAACCTGACAGCAGAATAAGCTCACCGCTCATTCCTGGTCAGCTGTGAGAGGACAAAATCAAACCTTATTATTTCTAAAATAAAACCAAAGTGGCTTTTACCTGATAAAATGTGTGAGGTTGCACCACTTCATTTGATCCACCTTCAGCATGTGCTTTTTAAACTGATCGCCACACCGTTCCATTTCCATTAGCAGCATCGTCTCATTACACCTGCTGGTCCTTATTTTGGGCCTTGTGTCGATGTTCTCTGTTGCTGTGACACATTACAAAATAAAAAGAATCCGTGAGAGGAACGGAACTCCAGGCCCAACAGTCAAGGACGCAGTGAGAAGTTTCCAGCAAAAAATGCGGAATCGTCCTCCATCTCTGCCAACTTCCAAGGTGTCACAGCCAAACATCAATATAGTTTTGCAGTGAGACCAATGTGATGTGAATAACTGAATTGGACAATATAAAGCTTAACCAACCATGGTGATTGTAAAAAAAAGTCAATACAAATCCACGAGATTAAAAGCATATTATTTCGCCTACCTGACAGCCCTGTCGTCATCAAAGTGTTTGCTGAAATAGAAAAAATACCCAAAAACAATAAATAACTGTATGGCAAGACGAAAAACAACAACAACTCTATGACAATTGCTAAACCTGCGTGAAGTTGGCCCCTCATACGTTTCATATTTCAACCAAACTGGTCTCAATCGCATGTGCCGCGTTTGTGCCGGATTGTGCCGTTAAAATTGTTGTTTGTGCTGTTTTAGTTTCTGAGATACAAATGTTTGTTTACATGGTGACGTCATCAGCGTGAAGTTGGCCTCCCCATTTGCGTCTGATTTCCACCAGACCGATCCCAATCGTGTGTGCTGCGTTTGTGCTGGTTTGTGCCGTTAAAACTGTCCTTTGTGCTGCTTTAGTTTCTGAGATATTGCTTGTAAGGCTGCCCCCCCCTCTCATTTGCGTCTGATTTCAACCAAACCGATCGCAATTGACCTTCAAGTCCTGTCACAAAAGTTCCCTATTCACAGAGCTTCAGAGCTGGATGCGTTTATCTTTTTAATTGTTTTACTTATGATGTCACAGCAAATACATCTTGCTTAGAATTCCTCAAACAACAGAAGTGAATCCACACTCCACACATCAGACATCTCTTTTTTTCTTAAAACAAAGCCAGGACAACGTGTAATACTTAGTCATTAAACATAAAAACATGGTTTTGTACTAAAACAGTAGTTGGCGACTTTTGAGTAGTGTAGGACAGAGAACACAAAAACTACTGCATGTGTTTTTTCTGGTTGAATAGCTTTGGTTATTTACGTTACATTCATTTTGTCATTTTCACAGAGATGCACTTATTGGGTACATTGTAGATTATTTTTTTTTACATTTCACATTTGCTTGTTTGTTTGGAACATGTTTGGAAGATGTTTGTTTGATGAGGATGACAAGCATATAATGGTTTGGAAACAACTTAGCTACAAGTGTTGCTAGGTCAAGTTTCCAATGTTTTCACTAAACCGATTCAAATTAAGTGCCCTACTGATAAGGATAAAAGCAGATTCCCTCCTGATGCTTGAACTGACCACCTTTTGATCTAGAATCCAGTGACTTATTCACAATGGCACCTTCTAAAACTGCTACTGAAACTAAAGATAAAGAAGCACTACAGGAAAACTGCAGCTCAACTGAAATGTAAGACAGTGAATCTCCCGCAGAGCCAGTTAAAATCTCAGGAAGGAAGTCGAAGCCTCGACTCTGTGTCCTCTGAGGCCTGTGTCACCCGTCACCCTCAGAAAATGAGCCTTCTCGAGCAAGGCTCACTGAGACAGATATAATGCTCCTTGGCTGTATTTGTGGCATGAGCTACAGTCGCTATTATTGCCAGCACTGGGAATTGGGAGACATTGTTAGTCGGATGAGGGCCAGATTTTATCTGTCTGTTCCACCACACAGACCCATGGAGAATGAAGGAAGTTCATGTCTAGGGAACCTGGGCTGGCCTTTAGTGTGGGTGTTTGCTGGCAAACCGAACACAAACAGCCTGGGACTGGAGCAAGGCACACCCATTTCCTTTAATGAGGCATTCATTTTAACTTCAAGTTATATTGTGGAATAATCTTACACTGGGTTCTGTAATGCTTTTAATGTTCCAAAAAGGGCTCACAAGAGTTTAACTTAAACAAATAATGTTCTGGGGGTAGAAAGAAGAATGATTGGTTATCTCTCTGAATCAATCAGATTATAGAGGAGGCGGAGCCAAGCAACTAGAGGAGGTGGGACCAAGACATCTGATTGGTTGGTCCTGCCTCCTCTTGTTGCTTGGACCAACCAACTCTGTGATCTGATTGGTTATCAGTCATTTTTCTTTCATTTTTCATTTTTTCTATATTTTTGTGTAAGTAAAACTCCCATGAGAATCCCCAAAATGCTGGAAGCAGGAACAAACACCATAAGGTCATCAATGTTGTGTAGTCACCATGAAATGGCTGTTATTTTGCATTTTACGCCAAACAAGGACATTTCTCCCATCAAGATATGGGCGTGGTATCTGATAACTTCAAACCCTGATGCAGGGGTCCAAAAACATTGTAACTGTTTCAGCGGTTGACAGTACTCAGTTCCCACACAGACAGTACTGTCTTGTAACTGTAACAGACTTGTAACTGTTTCAGCGGTTGACAGTACTCAGTTCCCACACAGACAGTACTGTGGGGTTGGGTATAGAGCACATACCAGTCAAAGTTCCATAAATGCATTAAACATTAATCAGAACAAGGAAAACAAAGTTGCATGGCTCTGTCATGTATTCTGGCATCCTTATATTAGGGATCAAGGGTAAAATAATCAAAACAAGTATACTAAAACCTAGGACTAGAATTTCTTCATCTTTGATCCATTGGGGTAGAATGAATAGGGTAATATATGGTTATTATAATGTACTAAAATGCTAGTGTATGACTGCAGATTTGCAGTCTATAGTTGGTGGAGTGGATAGTGCAAAGAGGGGCAGAGTAGAGGGTTAGAAAAAGATCAGAGGCAGACTAAGGAAAAAAAACACAGAATATGGGAAGCCTCCTGCCACAGATGAACGCTGATTATCTTTGTGACTTATAGAAATGGATCAAATATACAGGCATGCATGTGGCCAGTTTGTAAGAGCTTTTTGTGATGGAAAAATATGCAAATTAAAATTCTGGGAAATTGTGATGATGTGGGAGAATTCGAATGCTGTGTATACTGGGCTAAATACCTTCAAACATTTTAATACATCAGTCAGCTGGAGTTCAGCAAAATCATTGGCATACAAAATTCAAGCTGATGCTTGTTGGAATCTGATGACAATTGGCATTGCAATTACATTTGCCAATTACAAGGAGCAGAAAAACAGCAATAAAGGTAATTTGTTTTATTATTTAAATGTATTTGCTGCGTACGATTAAACAAAGCATAATGATGGACAACCCCAATTTAGTATGATTACTATTATATGATATGTACTAATCAATAATGTTATATCTAATACTGTATGTGCTAGCATATAATATTTAAAGTAAAAGAGACTTACAGTAGAAGAAGGGGTTCTAAATTTATACGCAGTCCCCAGGATTTAAACCAACAACCTTGGAATACTTGGTTGGTTGAGCTACAACATCTTCAGAGACTCACATGAAGTTGTGGTATATCTGAGTTGAGATGCAGATCAAACATGTGGCCATTTATGCTATCGAGGGTTGGACAATCTACACTGCAGACACATTGAGGGAATTTCACCCAGCAACAAGGAGCATGAGCCAAAACGGATAGTAGGGGCAGATCTAAGGGGTGGCCAGGGGTGGATATTTCCTCCCCCCAGTTAATATAGGGGTCACCCTTGTTGTCACACCACCATCAAAATAATAAAAACGAAATATGGATTATTTTATTTTCTAAGTGGGACCATAAAAGACATGCCCCCACCCCCATAAAAATAACAGTCCCCTGAAGGCCACTGCAATCAATGTTTCCTGCAGGCACCACTGCTCAGGACAGGGTAGAATGTGTGGACTTCCTGGGGTCACTTATGCTTTACAAGCCAGCTGCAGCATTAAAAGGCTCTGTCACTCTCTGCATTCGCCGGTTCAGGAGTTATATATATCGTTTAACATTGGACCGGTCCATTATTCATATCGGTGTTTATCTAAAAGCTGCAGAACAGTGCTTGTACAAAAAAAAAATACAGGTATATATTTGTTACAGCTTTTATTTCCAGCACACACCATCTGCCGTCCCGCAAGACAGCTGCGTTAGCAATGCTGTTAGCAATAGCCATGCTATATGTGCAGATGGTGCTACAGTGTAGGAGGACACCAGAGTTAACAGAAAACATGGGGAGAGCATGCAAAGCCTCCAGCACAGAAACCCACCCAGATGTCAAAGCCAGAGCCTTGGAGGGCAGCCTGTTCATCACCGGTCATGATCCACTGATTCTACCTCTCTGGTTAAAACTTCAGGTCACTTCTGTGGCTCCTACCGTCCGGCTGAATCAATGATCACCGCGTTCATTTTTGGTGTTCTTGGTGTCCACTGTCCAAATTTCCCTGAGCCTTTAATCTAAGTAACACAGCAAAAAAAAAACTGACCATCATGGCCCTGAGCACTTATACCTACATAGAAAAAAATGTGTAAATACTGTAGGAACTCGGAGCTGATGATTTACCCAGATCAAATTCCCATCTGCTCTCCGAAACTTTAAACTTCTTAACCCATTGTCTGGCCTCTATTCAGTTTTCTTCCGCAATGACTGATACTGAAATTGACATCACAGCCTGCCAGAATCATGCAGTTTTATCTTATCCTGAGCCCAACTGATTTCTTTGCCATACAAGCGTCCTTATTTTCCCCCAGACTGATATTTACAAGGACAAAAGTAGCTGAGTAAGAAATTTACTTTGGTCTTTGTACCGTAATATTCAGACCAAGTAAACTCTATCTTATTGATATTCACAATGTCATATTTTGCCCACACTGATACACATTGCGTGAGCCATTCCATGCATAAGGGACAGAACCAGTAACAGCATGATCTGATGCTTTCAAAAACCAGCGATATGCCAAAAGACATTCCATTCAAATCGCTAATGCAGACGCAGCTGTCACTGCCCTTTTTAAACCTTTCAATACGAGTCGGTGTCTCACGCCGTGACGGCTACTGATCAACGTCCCCAGGAGTATCATTAGAGAATACTGAATTTGACATCTCATGTCTCCTTCTCACAAACTGAAATCCTGCAGATTGATGAAAATGTTGACACATCTAGAATCTTCTTATTGAACTATATTTCCTGCACAGCCTATTTAACTGCATGTTCTTGGACATCATATGAACATCCATTTTTCCACACATATGCAGCTGATCGGCATTCAAAGGCCCAGCCCCCAGGCAACACTGCCCCCCACAACAGAGATGCAGGATCTGAACCCCCGACCCAGGAGGTGTGAGCCAATGTGCTGCCCCTGCAATTAAAATAATCCTCTGCTAAAATACTGGATAGTGTGCGGCTATGACCTGTGATCAGAAGGTTGCTGGTTCAAATCCCCCGGCTGGCAGAATGAGTTGGGCCCTTGAGCCAGGGCCTTAACCCCAATTACTCCTGGGACACCCTCTGATCCCTCTTTGCCAATAGTTCACTATTTTGGATAAAAGCACCTGCTAAATAAATGTAAATATATAATCAACAGGGACATCCTGATGTGTCATGTGACCAGCAAAAAAACGATGTCTGTTTTGTGTCTCGTGCCAAGACCACAAGCCTGGGCCTTGTCACCCGATCCCAGACCATGCACTTCCCAAGTCCCGGCGCCCACTTTACTTCCCTCGTTCTGTGCTTCCTTC